TCGGTGTACGTCGGTGTCCAAGCCCCAAAGCTTAACATTTGGCCGTGGCGTGGACTCGAAACGGCGAACAACTCTCTTTCGCTGTTCATGCCAACGCTCTCCAAGCCAGGTTTCGCAGTGCTCTCCAGAGTATACGGACCGAAGCGATCATGTTCATGGGGTGTGGGTAATTTAACCCAGTCCAAGCGCTGAGTTTATTCGCTAGTCTGTCAGAGTCGGGCCTTCTTGGGCTTCTTCGTTTCGTCTAGAGTGTCCCTTGATCTTTGACAAGGCGCCCGCCTCATCCGATTGCTCCCCTGATCCAAGATGATACTTCGACCGGAGGTTACCGTCACGGCGCATGAACACAATAGGGCTGACGTTGGCGACGGACGTCAGATGTGACCGCGCAATCTAAGTTGGGATCTTGGTCGCTCTAGCTTAGCTTGACAACTCAATTCTCGTCGCCGTTAGGCCTACCCATCGACTTACTTGACGTTTGACTTGCTGAGAGATTTGGTAGTATTCCAATCGGGTTCGCAATGTCGGCGGTGTAATGTAGCCCGATCGCTTGGCTTTGATGCGAATTCACACTGGTCTCAACTCGCGGTCGATCTTCCGGCTTCATTTCGATGCTGACAATATCGATTATTCCACCCCACCTTGGTCGCGACGATGTCGAACGTCGAAACGTTCTCGTTCAACTGTCGCGGAGGAAATGTCGGCACTAGAATGCTGTCAGATCCACGGCCCGGTTCGTTCAAATAGACTGCGCGAGTGCGGGCGCTGGCGTCGCCGGCGAAGCTGCGCGCACACCGATTCCTGCCCAAGTTCTACCAAGATGCCTTGTCAGTTCGTATGAAGCATCTCAGACTTCTCTTGTGGCGCGATATTGACATACTCAACTACGTACTGTCTCTTTGCAGTACAATGATCTCCTACATCGCGCGATTAGATCTTTAACATGAGCGCATGCCCAATCTGTCACGAGTCATTTGTGCTTACTTCGATTGCTCATCTTCGCGCTCGAGCCCCAGCAAACCTAATCGTTAGCGTCGATGTTTCCAAATGTGCATGAGCGGCCACGACGTACTAGCAGACAATGCCATTTCGAGAGCGCCAGAACAACGGCCGGGTCATTTTGGCTCTCTCTACACACCCACAACGTCCTGTCATCGGGCCTACGAACAAGACGAGTAAACGAATGCTCTTCTCACACTGCTCACGGGCGCAATACTCGAAAATTCTGGCTATGCTGAGCTCCTGCCAATACGCGATTGAAGAAGATCGAGTGTGTCGTAAATTGACGTCAGAAAGGTGAATTTGACGAAAAGCTCACGCTCAATACCTTTGTCCTGCTCTTTTGGTATCGCATCAGCGTCTTCCTCAAGCAAGATCATACTGATCGAGTAGTCACTGCGTGGCGCTATTGTTGAAAAGATGGCGCAGTCGTCTTGTTGACATCTCGTTCAGCTCGAAACGGTGCGACGAACCAGCTTCTCATACCACTGAATGCGGAGGTAAGCATATGACTCCCTATGACAATTAATTTCCATATCCGAAGGTTTACTGTCTGGAGGACACCTACTGCAAGCTTGACGGCCAAGGACAGAATGACATAGTCTAAACCAGCGCACCTCGACCGTATCGCGAGGCAACGAATCTTACCGCAAAGCCGATAGACGGCAAACGGGATGTTGTAAGTAGCGGATGCACGTGGTACCAAGACCTGAGAGGCGTTTGGTCGTGGGGTGAGACATTGGCGATGTGCTTGATAGTCTCAAACCGCTTGTTTGGCTTCCAGTAAGTGAGGCTAAACAGGTGAAAGAGCTGGACAAGGAAACATTACCTGTGACCTGAGAACTACCTGTATCTGTAGCTTGGCGCTACACTCACATTGCGGTTTCACGGCAATCGCACTCTTCCGACGAGCTTATTTCGATATCACCGCGACAACCGCGACAACCGCCAGTGATTCAACAGCTCTTTCGCTGGGTACTTTCACAATCTACTCAACCTACTAGTGGATCCAGAGCTCGATATGAACCGACCGCAACGCTTCAATGTCGCTCTCCAGGTACCTACCAAGCTCATGGGTCGACTCGTGAGTAATTGCCGGTGTGCGAACTGCATGTGAGACAAACACTGACTTCGTACATCCATCTTTAGGTGACAGAAAGAGTTGCATGCCGCCAGCATACCGAAGTATTGCAAGAGAAACCTCAAGATGCCCGAGCGTGTGCGAGGAAAACTGAATATCGGCGCAATATGCTGAATGCGCTCGTTGCAGCGTGTGCGCAGACAGAAGGCTTTGCTCAGCGCGATGTTGCTTTCAAGCTAGTCGAGAAGTTCAGGACTCTGGCCCAGACACTGGATAGGTCCAAGGCTGTCGCATTCACCTTTGGTATCGAAGAAGACGAGGAGATTGCAGCTTTGCCGATTGAGGAGCAAGTTCCTGCGAGTGGGGACTCGTCGCCCGAGCCGCAATCTAGTCCGCTTGAGCTTTCTACGTCAATGCCTGCCCGGGAAGGCGCGTTACACCCTCTCTTGGTCGCGCTCCTTGCCTTCAAACTAGGCGGTCCTATCAACGCAGCCTTTACTGGACACCAACATGAATGGAGGCCCCCAATCGACACTGCGCGCGATACACCAAGCTTCTATTCTGAGGGCGATGTAGGTGACTTCTTCGATGATATTCGAATAACGGTGGTATGGGAAAAGCGCGATGATAAAGCGACCGGTCCTTCGGGGAAACACAGTGTCTTCCTGACAGGCGATGCCACGCCCCGACCGCTGGAAGCGCTGACAGTCCAAAAGCAGGCTGAAGTCAGCTCACCAGTTACTATAATCTACGACTGCGGACACGCGGCGTTATATTACGTATGCGATGATCCAGACGCGATACGTGAGAGCAAGAGCTTGGATGTCCATCTGAATACCATCTCGGACAAAGACGTGCGCCTCCTGAATGCAGCAACAGGCGACGAGTCTCGTGCGAAGCCATCACTAACAGAATTGGTGACCAACTTTCCCACCGAAAATTATGCCAACCACTTTCACGATATCCTTTTCGACAGTGTCTCAATCAACGCCATCTTCACCAAACTTGATATGTTCGACGTACCGCCAGCGCCAGCTCTTGCCCCAGCCCGGCAGCATCTGCAAGACAAGCGATTTGACGCATACAAAAAGGACAACTTGGCTCATTTGCCAATTGACATTAAGAGACTGGCGGGCGACGTATATCTAGAAGGGAGCTATCCCACAGCAGCGAGCTTCCTAGATAAGGTCGTTCTGAAAGCACGCCGCGACGTTCATCTGCCTGTTGGGGCCAGCCTTTTTCCACAGTCCCCTATGGAAGAGAACATGGAGTGGGCACGGAGGTCCATTCGAGACCTACGCGAAGATCTGGTGTCGAACCGCGTTGCACACTACGCAACAGCTCTCGTAGATTCTGCGTATGCAACCAGAGATCTGATTTCGACCGCGAATTTGCGCAATTATGCGAAGATGCTGGAGCGGCACTATCTGGAACTCATCGGCATTGGTTTCACAGACGACGCATGCTCGCTTCCGTCAATGGCTGCCTTGGCTTGTGCCTTCGGTAACGCTATCGATGGGCTCAAGGAAGTGCAGATCTTGGCGGAACCATGGATCGAAGAGATGGATCTGCAGGTCTATAGGACGCGCTGTTTGTATCTCTTTTGGTGCGCCGACTGGTTAGTATATTACCTGGTGAAACCAGAACCAGGACCGTTCATGATCATTGATGAGAAGACGGCCATAGCAGGTGCGCAAGGTATGGGACGAGCGGTGCGTCGGATAGCGACTATGCTGTTGCGCAACTGGGTAGCCTGGGGTCTTTTAGTAGAGGGCTTGCCACAAGGAGGTTTCTTCGTCCGAGGATCGTGAGCATAGCTGCCACGATGATTACTCATAGTGTCCAGAGCGGTGGCGGTGAAAAATCTAGGGGTAGATCCGAGATTTGAGGCTATACCTAATTACTTCCCGTGTCCGCCTGGTTCGCGGGCCGTGTGCCTGGGAGCCGGAGTCGTGCTGCAATGAATGTTTTGCGAGTTCACGACTATGTTGATGCTGATGCAATTCAACTGATGCAACAGTCTCTCAGTGCGCGCCTGGAGAGATGGCGATGAGACGGAAAAGGGTTCATGCAGGTGCGGGATGTCGCTGCCGTCACTTTCGGTGACGGGACGCTAGTCGGGCGCTAATCCGGATTCGTCTCTAGAAACCCCTCCGGAAGTCATGCAGCTGTCCTTTCACTCAAACAATTCTCCGTCAATCCTGCGCATCGCTCCAATCCTACGAAGGTCTCACGGTGTGGCTGGTGACATTCCATCAATCGGCGGCCGGCGGCGTGAACGTGCTTTCTGTATCCGCAATGGCGTCTGACCTTTTGCGCCACGCGACAGCGGCGCCACGCGTCTGGACCAGTTGTTTCGTTTCACCATTGATCTAACACGGCAAGACACGAACACCTGACAGTAGTCCAGATTGCCCGCGTGCTGTAGAGTATTCAACTCTGGGTAAGCTGTATGCTTAGTTGCAGTGAGATTCTGCTCAGCGCTACGAGGCTGGCAATCGATTTGACGGAGAATTGTCACAGAGATCGCCCACCACCATCTGCGATTCGGTCACATCCAGATCTCGTTTCATTTATACAAAGCGGAGTAGCCCCAACCGAGGATCCACCTGTTACATGCTGCGAGAACACCGGCGCAGGTGCCATCCGCTTTGTGCCCTCATTTCTCGCAGACCCTAGACCTTTTGCGATGACAAGCCTTGCCCAGCAATGACAAGCTCAAGGAATTTGAGCTTGTCGACGACTCGTGTGAATCCTCCGATGGCTCCACCTATCAATACGTACCACTGTCGATGAAGTCCTGGTATAAAGGGCATGGCGGAACGTCTCTACAGAACCCAACAACTCACTCATTCATTCATTTTCTACACAACAGCCTTACATTCCCTTCAATCATCCCTATTTTCAAGCTACATTCACCATGGTTGCTTTCACACTTACCTCTCTCCTTCTCGGCGCTGGTGCGCTCGTCTCGGCTGCTCCTTCTAGTCTTGACACCCGTGCAAGCTGCACCTTCTCCGATGCTGCTACAGCCATCAAGAACAAGGCTTCCTGCTCTGCTATTGTCATTCAGGGTATGACTGTTCCAGCAGGAACGACCCTTGACTTGACAAAGCTCAAGTCAGGCACCACCGTCACCTTCCAGGGCACCACCACCTTCGGCTACAAGGAGTGGGAGGGCCCTCTCATCTCTGTTTCGGGAACCAACATCAAAGTCATTGGCGCCGCTGGCCATGTCATTGACGCAAATGGTGCTAAGTGGTGGGATGGCAAGGGAAGCAACGGCGGCAAGACGAAGCCCAAGGTATGTCAATACTGATCTTTTGCTGAGTTACAACTGACTTGGCAAGTTCTTCTACGCCCATTCCATGATCTCATCTTCTATCACTGGACTCAACGTCAAGAACACCCCTGTGCAGGGATTCTCCATCAACGGCGCGCAGGACCTCACCCTCGATAAGATCACCATCGACAACACTGCTGGTGACATCACCAACGGCGGTCACAACACCGATGCTTTCGACGTTGGCAGCTCCACCGGTGTGTACATCACCAACGCCAACATCAAGAACCAGGACGACTGCCTGGCTGTCAACTCCGGTACGGACATCCACTTCACCGGCGGTACCTGCTCTGGCGGACACGGTATCTCCATCGGCTCTGTAGGTGGCCGCAGCGACAACACTGTCAAGAACGTCATCATCTCCGACTCCACCATCACCAACTCTGACAACGGTGTCCGTATCAAGACTGTGTCTGGTGCCACCGGTGCTGTCTCTGGTGTTACATACAAGAACATCACCCTCAAGAACATTGCGAAGTACGGCATCGTTATCCAGCAAGACTACCAGAACGGCTCTCCCACTGGCAAGCCCACCACCGGTGTCCCGATCACTGGCCTTACCATCCAGAATGTCAAGGGTACCGTTGCTGCCAAGGGTACTGACGTCTACATTCTTTGCGGTAAGGGCAGCTGCTCCAACTGGACCTGGACCGGTAACAGCGTCACTGGCGGAAAGAAGAGCACTAGCTGCCTCAACATCCCTACCGGCGCTTCTTGCTAAGTTCCAGGATGAGACGAGTGCTATACCTTGGAGCACCGTGAAGTAGCTTTGGATCGGCCTGTGGCCTTTCCTATTTTCTCTTGTACATCTTCGTCTTTCAGTAAATATTTATTCATCATAGCAGCTACGCTGCTCAGCACTAGGCATCTCAATCTATCGTTGTAGCAATCTGCATTTTTTATGACAACTGTGACTGACACTTAATCACCAATGCATTCGTGCGCAGCGAGTACATCTTGTTGTTTGTTTGATAAGCGGATCTCGTATTGTCTGTTCTGAAGGGACTCTATCCAAGCCCGTCACTGTCATAATACATCAGGCCCTTATCATCCCTGTCCCATCTAGACCCTCGGCGGCAGCATAGTAGGCACCGGCCCCCTAGTTGTCGTCCTTGGCAACTCAGGTACAGCAAGCGTAGGCAAGCAAGCACACGCACTGCTAACCTGCGCAACCACTTGCTCACCCGTACAAGCCTCCTGCGCAAACTTCGGCACGGCACGAACATCATCAATCAGCCTCTGAGTGAAGTTACCGCAGAACTCTTGCGAAGCCTGCAGTCTACCCTCCACGTTTGCTGTGCGCATCGACGTAAGACAAGAGTCTACTTCGCAAACGGCTGGCTTTGCACACTCCTTGCTCGTCATCTTGACGACGAAACTACCACGCTCGATAGTGTGCACGAAGATGAATCCGCTCTTGAAGTTCGCGTAGCTGGACCAGGAGCCGAGGAAGGCTACTGTGCCGCCACCTTCGTTCTCGTCGTCTTCGGGGTAGATGTCGAAGAATCCGGCTTCGCAGATGCCGTCGCCGCTGGGATCTTGCGTGATGGTGTGGATGTCCAGGACGTTGAGACCGTTTCCATAGTTCGATTGGTAGAGGTAGTCGCCAACGACGTATTGGTTGTGGTCGATGCTACGGCGCTTTCCCTCATAGTTGCCAGAGTAGAAGGGGTTCTCCAGGTCGCGAATGTCGAAGATGTGGGTGGTGGGCAGACCCTGTGTCATGGGACCGACTTTGGCGTCACGCTCGTCGAATTCATCGTCAAGGAAGATGTATTCCTGCCAGGTTGCGTTGTTGACGACACCTTGATGCACATACTCTGCTCCAGGGTATGTGGTGCGAGAGATGATGTTGGTGGTGTTGCCGGCTTTGTCAGTCACGTCGTAGATAGTCAGCGTGTCTTCGTTGTAACCGTAGCAGATGTCGCGGCCGTAGTACTTAGTGTCTGGTCCGCGGTAGACGATGCATTCGGCATCGTGGACATAGCCATCAGCAGAAGCACAGCCTGGGCTGGTAGGGTTTTCAGGGTCGCTCATGTCGATGAAGATGAGGCCTCCGCGGCATGGCAAATCGCCACGGACACGGATAGTCTCGTTACCGCCAACTGATCCAACTGCTACGGCGTAGTTGAGTTCTTCGTTGACAACGATGTTGTGGGTTCGGCCAACCGGGAGAGCATTCCAGTCATCAGTCAGACCCCAGTGGCCAGTCAGATCGTCTTGGGTAAATTTCATCGGCTCGCTTCCGTCAAGGTCCAACAACTTCTTCATGTCGAAAATTTGAACACCGTGGTTGATGGCCTCACTACCAATGACGGCATAGTCCCTCATCACGCGAATCTCGCGCCAGCGGGATCCGATAGGGTCGAAAGGAGGCAGGCGGCCCAGATAGATCAGCTTTCCTTCGCTGCTGATCTCTGCAAAGGCGGTACCGTCGAACTGGCCGATTGCTACAAACTCGCGTCCATCCTCTGATGTCCAGCCCCAAGAAGAGGAGCCTTGTCCATCAGAGCTGCCAAGGAGGGAATGTGGGAGGAAATGGTAGAGGTCGATCTATACACATTAGCGAACTGATGAGCATTTGAACCTGGAGCCAACTGACATTATGGCACCTGAACGTGTTGTTGAAGTCACCAGGGATTGCAGCAGCGAAGCCGTTCTCACATGGCGTGTGACCTAGTTCAGGGTAGCGGGTGCTATCCATCTCTCCCGAGGCAATCTCAGCATCCCATTGTGCCTGTTGGGGTCAGTATAAGCATGCACCAGCGTGCACCGACACGGAAGCCTTACGATCTTCATCCCCATGATCCTTGCATGCACAGTACCATCAGCATACTCCTCCGTAGTACCCAAGGCGGCCGCATTGCTCAGTCCAACCAAGGCAGAGCCAAGAACCGACAACGAAGATACGTGAACCATGACGATAGCGATTCACCGTCAGTCCAATGGTGCGAGATGTTCCTGGTACCTCACATATTCAGCGTCACCGCGCCTAGATATACACTTTCCCATGTTCCTTCCGGTAAACCACGAGCCGATATCGTCCTTGGTCCTGCAACAGTACTCACTACGATATCCGACAAAACCTGTTAATCTCTTAGCCAACTGCTCGCTAAGGTACAAAAGATCTAGTCCGTCAGCCCCGATGACCTGGTTAAGAAGGTCGCTAGATACCATCTCTTGGGACACAGATGACCGCTTGGAATCCGCTTGGTAACCAAGACCCCAATTGTCGGTAAACACTAACCCACACTACTTGCCGTTTTCTCAATGGTGGGTGCTAGCGCTTGGCCCACGTTGAGCTGCACTTGGCGGCTTCGGCGCCGAAGGTGGAGGTCTAGGCACGGCCTTGGAAGTCGGCATGGGATTCACCCCGCTCCGCCGGCCTACTATGGTGGCTGGGTGTCTGTGCTAGGCTCCACTGAGGCTTCGTTTTAAGACCATGGCTTCTCTTTCAATTTTTGTGCGTCTATGGCTGGCCTAACTCTGACGTGGGCTTACCGTTCACTAAGCTAGGTCAACATGGATTTCAGCCAGCTTCTGGTGTTTATGCCAGAGCTTTTTCAGCAATGTGCGTTGTATTTTAGTCTTTGTAAGCTATGCGCGATACCTAAGTATCGCCTTCAGTCAATTTGCTAATCTACGGCGTTACCCGTTACTGGCTCGGACAAAATGAGTGTGGTCCTTCAACGCACTTCTTCCAATCTTCATGAGTATCTTGATGAGATGCTCAATCTACACTCGCAGCCGCGAGGTCCGTCACGCTCAAAAAGTCTAGCTTTTCGAACGCCAAATCCAAATCGAAGTCTTCAAAGCAAAAAAATCAATGCTGAAATGCATTGGACAGGTCGCGATCGTAGTGGACTGAAAAGTCACAACTACGTCAGTGAGGCTCTGTCCTCACCCTACGCATACCGTTGGAAAACGCTTAGCTCATCGGTGCCAGCCGGTTGACAATGGGGTATAATGCTTTTGGTAGACTCGCAAACGCCGGAATAAAACGCTCAGTGTACTAAGGAAATATCGGCCGTAATCGTTGTGTGGGAAGGAGGGCGCGGGCGAGGGCACCGGTCATAGTCGAAGCTGATGCACATCGATAGACGGGACTCAGCATGCTTCACAACAAAGCAGAAAACAAACGTCAAAGCGTTGATAGCCCCGTCCAGTGGTCCGCGTTATGTGAGTCGACGAACTAACGCCATCCATTTTGGCCAAATTGGGCATTGTTCAGCGATGACCTCCCATCATTTATGTTCATTGCAGGGTCCATAAAAGATTGCGACCAGTCTTCTTGATGCATCAGCTCATCAAAAGGCATGTTGCTGGATGTTTGCATCGGCATACCCTGCTGAGGTGGATATCCGCGGTATTGCTGGTTGCCCTGCATGAAATACATGGGCATGGAAGTAAGGATCTGTGCCTCACTGTCCATGGGTCGAGCTTGCGAATTGGGCGTGCTCGTGGGAGCAAACATGGCCGGGTGTCCTTTCATCTCCATACTGGTCGAGAGTTGAGGAGGGTGTCCGCTCACCGGGGTGCCAGTACTGCGGTCGAAAGTTTGTGGATGTTTGTTTTCAAAAGCAGTCATGGGCTGGTTGGGGTAGGCGAGCGGGTCGGCAGACGGAAACATCATTGTTGAGATGTCTGCGATCGGGACATTAAGACCTGACGGGTCTGCCAAAGGGTTGCCTAGGCTTGTTGGACCAAAGGCAGATGATGTCTGCTGCGAGTCATGAATAGGAGCCAAGCCAAAGCTCGGTAGGCTATCGTTGGATGATGTAGGTGTAAGGCCTGGCACACCATCGAATAGATTGGGGTTGGAGACCGAGTGTGCGGGATAAGAAGAACCCAAGCCGATGCTACCAAAGTCAGGGCCGCCAGACTCAAATGACTGGGCTTGGCCAGCAGTCTTGACATTGGGAATGCTATCGGGATAGGTACTCGCACGGCGGGGTGCGGCAGAGTCGCTCTGACCAAAGGTAGGGCGGGTGCCAAGAGAGTGCGGCGAGCTTCCTTGTCGGCGCTTCCTCGATGCAATGATCTCTCCACCATGTCTGATTGATTCCGGGAGACGTTCAAACATGCCCTGGGAAACATTATTAGTGTTGTCAGTCAGAAGAAACTAGTGCTGTGCTTACCTTTAGTGCTGTGCTGCACCTATCAGCGGCCAGGCTCCTCTTCGCGAAGTACGCCAATACGTCCTTCCCTTCCACTGCATCCCGTAGCAATTCAAAACTGGTGGGACTCTGTGGGTTCTCCAAGACGAAATACAAAATTGATACAATAGCGAAGAAGGTCGTATACATGGAAAACCAGTATGCTCCAGCCAATTGGCCGCGATTTCTCATCTCCGTGGAAATGTGGATGATGTTGCGCGAGACGTTAACGCAGGCAGAAGCGCAGGCAAAGGCCCTCTGGTCCACGGTGTTCACGTTGTACGATTGCGAAACGTAGTGTAGGAATGGCCGATAGAGTAAAAGCTGGGCATGTCCGAACGCCATACGGAGAAGTTGTTGCACCCTGCGTATATGTCAGCAGCTGCAAAGATGATGTTAGATATTCAGCTTACCTCCTGATGATTGGAGGGGCGTCGCCGCCCGGCCTGAGCGCGATAGGCAGCTCATCGAGCCATCTTGCTAGATCCTGTTCGATTTCGCGAATCTTGGAGTAGCCCACAGAATAGGTCACAGAGTTCTTGGCGCCTGATTGTGTGCCTTTGAT